CAGGTCCCTGGTGCTGTGAGGCAGCAGTGCTAACCACTGAGCCACTGTGCTGCCCCATGTTTTGTAATCATGAAAGAGTGGTAAGACAAGGTAAAATCCTGACTTCACTTTGGAAGCTCCTGCAAAATGTTAAATTTCATCCCCTTCTACCAGCTAACGACCACATCCCTGATCTCAATCTCATATTACTCTTCTTGGACTCTAAGTGGGGCTGACATCAAAATCCAGCCTGCTACCACCCATGGCACCTAATATCACTCTCCGCTCTGGGTAATATATTGTTGGTCTTGGCACTGGAATAACTGCACACAAGCTGGTATCCCATCACCAAGACACCCAATATTTGCATGTGGAAAGTCATTAACACTGATCCAGCTCTCTCAGAGCCAGCTCTCAGAGTGAACAGAACCTCTGACACTCCTGTTTATATCTGTCAGCCAGGGCTCCCTGATTGGACCAGGTTAACAGCCCCAGTCAGGGAACTCACATTTTGTGAGGTCCACATGGCTGACTTTGTTACCATCACTGCAGGTACATATTCTGAACTGTCATCCCACTGCCGTGCTGAGGGAGCCCTTTATTGTTAAAGATCCTTCTTAAACTGGTGAGATATTGAGAGCTGCTGAGATACTGTCTGCTTGTGAGTAGTTAAAAGACAGCGATTTCTCCCTGCTGTTCCTCCCTTAACCAACATCACCAAAAACAGATCAATCATCCGTCAGCCTGTTGGATTTCTGCATATTAAAGGCACCAGGCTATGAGGGTATTTCGGTGAAAATGGTATTGAGCTAGATGGTCAGTCATGATCTGAAATAACAGAGTAGTTTCAAAGGGCTGAATGGCCTACTCCTATTCCCTGTGTTTCTTTCATTGCTGTTTCCAGGATCTTACTGTGTACAGAATGCCTGTCAGATGTGGCCAATTTTACAACCACTGTACTTTTAAATTGGTCTACGTCAAGGGCTTTGAGGCGTTTCTCAGCTCTTCGTAAGGGTTTTGTTTCCTACAAACTCTATGCCCCTTGATTAAAATTCTCATCAGCACTGTAAGGCAAAGCCATTCCCCAAAAAGACTTGCATTTGTGTAGCACCTTTCATAATGGTCAGGCCGTTCCAAAGCTCTTTGCGACCAGCAAAGTAATTAACACTTGCAGTCAATTTGCACACAACAAGCTCTCACAAGCAGCGGCCTGCTGATAACCAGCAAACTTACTTCATGAGGTTGTTTGAGGGTTTACTACAGGCCCAACACATCAGGGAGCATCCCCTGCTTATCTCTGAATGGTCTTACAGGGCCTGCTATATCTGGCTGAGAGGCAGATAGGACACAGGCTCAATGAGCAGTCTGAGGAGCAGTACCTCTGACGGTGCGGCACTCCCTCGGCGAGAGTACCAGCCTGGATTATCCTGCTCAGTGCTCTGGCATTCAAGCTGATTCGGAAAGTGAGGGAGCGTTACCCACAGAATCACTGCTTGCAACATAGCAAGAAAGTGGAGATGCTGGAAGAGTCTGGGAGGAGTGGACGAGAAGGGAATGGATTAATCAAACCACGGGAGCTGAAAACGGAAAGATCTGATTGTTTCTTTCAGGGCAGAGTGATTTCAGTGTGATAGGAAAATTAGTTGCACTGCATTGCCCCCTCGCAAATCAGACTCTCATTGTCAGATCCAAGAGTCTAATGAATAAAATTAACTGACGCCCTTCTGAGTTAATCCTGTTAGGATTGTACTGGCTTTGCCATTGTCTCCGAAAGGGAAATCAGGATCATTTTCAGAAAAAGGCGTTCGATTGAGGCTGTGGGACCTCTCGCCCCCACACACCCCCTCCCCCACTTCCCTCCCCCTCACTCTCACTTTGAATTAAACAGAAGAGTGGCTTTAATAAGCTTTGTGGTTAGACACAAGTGTCTGGTGGTGAACTGAACAAGGCAGCATTTAAGAGCTAGGAGCAGCAAGAGGCCATTTGGCCCTTTAGACTTGCTTTGCCATTCAGTCAGATCCAGGCTGACCTTCAGCCTCAATGCCTGTCAAAGATATACGGAGACGACGGGGTGGGAGGGGTGGAGTCTCAAACTTTGTCTGGAGAGCTGGCTGAGAGCCTGCCTTGCTTCTTGTGTGTGTTTGGACAGAATCAGACTAATTTGTGCTGCCTCTGCAGTTGACTAGCCTGCCTAGACTCACTGGCCACGTGGGCAAGGGTTGGCAGGTTGACTGGTCACAAGGGAGAGCCCAGAATTTAATGTGGTGGAATTTAAATTAAATGAATAATATCTGTAATATAAAACATTAATATTGATGGTGAAGCTATCAGATTGTCATTAAAAGCCACCTGGTTCACCAGTGACCTTTAGGGACGGAAACCTGTTGACCTTATCCAGTCTGACTACACATGACCCCAGGCACTGCCCTCTGCAATGGCTGATCAATATAGCTCACTTCAAGGGCAATTAGGGATGGGCCACAAATGCTGGCCTTGCCAGTGACACCCATATCCCATGAGAGAAGAAAGAAAGTGGATGCATAAACAGCAATTATCCAACATTTTACTTTTAGGGAGCTACATGGGTGGGAAGGAATGTGAGCAATAGATCATAGAGTGAAGGGGATCGAGCGGGAACCAGAGACTGATTGGGTTAAGAGAGGTTCAAGCATCAGTAACATCATGACCATAAGACCAAAAGAAATAGAAACAGACAGAGGCTGTTCAGCCCATCAAGCCTGCCCCACCATTCAATAAGATCATGGCTGACCTGACATTCCATACATAGCAGGAGGGATCAGTATCCCCTCTGACTGTATAGCATGAATGGAGGCAGCAGAGTAATGGATGTGGAGAGTGAAGAGCAAATTTAACACATGCTTCTACCGTGTTCTTTAAAAGCTTTGTGTTTGTGAAAGCTAAAGATGTTAAATGATTGACTTTGAAAGGAGCAGCTATCAGGGTTCTTTTTGAAGCAGCGATGTTTAAGAATTTTAATTTAATTTTTTAAATTTTAACTTAATTTAATTTGATTTGATTTGTTACTGTCACATGTACAGAGATACAGTGAAAAGTATTGTTTTGCGTACTATCCAGACAAATCATACCTTATATAAGCACATCGGGGTAATAGAACAGAACGCAGAATATAGTGTTACAGCTACAGAGAAGGTGCAGAGAAAGATCAACTCTAATATATGAGAGGTCTGTTCATCAATCTGATAATAGCAGGAAGAAGCTGTTCTTGAATCTGTTGGTATGTGTTTTCAAATTTTTTTTTACTTCGGCCTCACAGAAGAGGGTGGGAGAGAGTATAACCGGGGTGGGGTGAGATCTTTGATTATGTTGGCTGCTTTCCTGAGGCAGCGAGAAGTATAGGTGGAGTCAATGGAAGGAAGGCTGGTTTGTGTGATGGACTGGGCTGTGATCACAATGCTCTGTAATTTCATGTGGTCTTGGACAGAGCAGTTGACACAGCAAGCTGTGATGCATACACATAGGAATCTTTCTGCGGTGCATCTATAAGAATTGATAAGAGTCATTTTGAACATGCCGAATTTCCTTAGCCTCCTGAGGAAATACAGGTGTTGGAGTGTGCTTTCTTGATCAAAGCGTTGACATGGATGGACCAGGACAGATTGTTGGTGATATTTACTCCTCGGAACTTGAAACTCTCGAGCATCTCCACCTCAGTACCATTGATTACAGACAGGGGTGTGTCCTTTACTCCACTTCCTGAAGTCAATAACCAGCTCCTTCACTTTGCTGATATTGAGAGAGTGTGTTGTTGACTTTACACTAAGCTATCTCTTTCTCGTACTCTGTCTCGTCATGGTTAAGATCTGGCTATGGTGGTGTCATCAGCAAACTTGTAAATGAACAAAATTAGGACTGGTGTAGGCACAAGGTCAGAGGTTCAGTAACCAGAGGGGAGACATGAGAATCAGAGAGAAGAATGAAGGGAATTTGTTTGACACAGGTTGTTCTGATGTTATGTTATAAACATCAAACAGGCTTCATTTAAATTCTCTTACTTCCAGTTCTAATATTCATCTTAAACATATTATGATCTGCACTGACCAACCAGACTGGGGAATTTGATATGCGACTGTGAAGTGTTTGTAATTTGCAACCTTGAGTTTATTGCTTAAAAGAGATGTGTTGTCAAAAGTTTTATCAAGCACCCATCAGGACAAATAAAAAAATGCCAAACTTCTGACAAGTAATACACAAGAGGAAAGGTAGCTGATTGGTTGGCAAATTGACTCTGAAGGACCGAGACATTGCCATGGAGAAAGCAATGGGGAATTTAGACTTGCCGTAAACTTCTGGGTAATTCACAAAAGGCCCAAAGTTTGAGCACATATATTTTTATTTGCAGAGAATGGGTCTGTGTGAATGTATGTGTGCCACCTCTAGCATATATAAATGACCATATTACAAGCTTGACTGATGATCTTAAATTGCTTGTCAGTATTAATGCTCTCGAGATTGTTCAGCAAATGCCGTCCAATCACAAAGTCATGTCTTAACAACAGAGATAGTAAGAACTGCGGATGCTGGAGTCAGAGAAAACACAGTGTGGAGCTGGAGGAACACAGCAGGCCAGGCAGCATCAGAGGAGCAGAAAAGCTGACGTTTCAGGTTGGGACCCTTCTTCAGAAATGGGTCCGAATTGTCAGCTTTCCTGCTCCTCTGACGCTGCGTGGCCTGCTGTGTTCCTCCAGCTCCACACTGTGCTATCTCTTAACAGCAGATCTTTGTTTTACAACATGACCTGACTGAGTATAGTCTGTGTTCAATCTGTTATAAACAATCAAAAAATGATGTTGTGCAATTTGATCAGCAGCCTTTTGCCCCGAAGTATAAATTGTTGTGTTCATTTGAAAATTAGCATTCTTGTGAATGCAAGATGAAAAGCTTCATCAACATGTTTTCTTTTCAGTAAGATTCAAGCTTAAACCTCCCAAACAACCTTATGTAGAATCATCCTCATTGTTCAATTTAACTTTCATTTTCAGACGTTTGGAACAGAATGGAATTAAATCAGTTCCACCAGGAACGTTTACTCCGTACAAGAAGCTCCGACGTATGTAAGTACATCTCTCATTCTTAATTGTGTGGTCAATTTAAAAAGAAACATTTATAATTATCACTCAAATCTTTTAAGAGGTGTGAGTGTTATTTCAATCAAGCATTGAATAATTCTCAGCCAGCAACACTGTCCCTATTGACCTTTCCCAGGACAGGTACAGCATGGGGTTCGGTACAGAGTAAAGCACCCTCTACTGTTTTAAAGTGAAAGTAGAGCTCTCTCCACATTGTCCCATAAAACACTCTCAGGACAGGGACAGCACAGGGTTAGATACAGAGTAAAGCTCTTTTAAATGGAAAGTACAGCTGGCTGTACTCTTTTAAACTAAATGTAAAGCTACCGATAGTCCCCATCAAGCATTCCCATGAATGGTACAGCGTTGGTTAGGTACAGAGTAATGCTCCCTCTACTCCTTTAAATTGAAAGTTAACCACCTCAATACTGTTCCCATCAAATATTCTCACGACAGGTACAGCACAGGATTAGATACAGAGTAAAGCTCTTTTTACACTGTCTGCATCAAAGACTCCCAGGACAGGGACCATATGGGGTTCGATATAGAGTAAAGCTCCCACTTTGCTGTCCCTATCAAACATTCCACGGAGAGGGTCAGCATACAGTTTAATACAGAGTAAAGCTCCCTCTACTGTTTTAAGCCAAAAGGAAAGCTCTCCCTATACTATCCAACACTCCTTTTGTGGCTGATTATCAATCTTTGTACATTATGGTTTTGCTTAGGCATTTTCCAATGTTGAAATTGTTATATAACTGCAAATTGCAGTTGGGTTTGGAGGAACAGGTTTATAACTTGTCCCTTTAAAAACAAATTATTTGAGCTGCAGTCTTTATACTGAAGTGGCAGATTCAAGGTCGAAGAGATTATGTTGTTCTCTCAAATACCTGATCATTAAATTTTCAGACACAAGAGCCTGATAAATGATAAATAGGATTGTGCAGGACACAGAGAGATAAGGAAGAAGCACAGAAACATCTACTCAAGCACTGGTTACTATGGTGATCAGCATGCAACAGGCTAATACCTTTTCTTTAGAGACTGCAGTTGTTCAGTGGACCATTGAAATCTTCCTTGAAATTATATTTTTCTCTCTCTGAATGCCTTTTATTCTCTTCTTTCATTATCAAGGTCTTCATAGATCATGTTTTAACCACACTTAGTAGTGTGGTCTCCAGTCCCCAGACCTCACCCTACATTTGGAACATGTGGGCGGAGGCTGTAGTCACATTGGAGCATGCAATGGTGCAAATTCACTTGGATGGTGAAAGGGTTATACATTGTTAGTGCAGTTTACATAAATCCTCGTTTATATTCTCATGATTGTTAAAGATTGAGCAGGCAATCTGATCATGGTATTTAGAGGTGGACAAATGAAGAAAAGTCATTTGGTCTGGTGAAAAGAACAGGGAGGCAGAATCTTAAAGCTAAAGCTGGGGCACAGAGGAGAGAAATCAGGAGACAGCTTTTCATACAAAGGATGGTGGAAACCTGGAAATAAAGATCTGGAATACCGGGGGTGTGGGGATCAATTGGAGCTTTCAAGACTTAAATTAAATAGGTCATGGCATAAACATTAACAGGGAGCAAAGGCACATAATTGCTGTTGATGCGTAGGTCGACAGTTATGTGATGGATTGCCAGTACAGACTCAAGGGACTGAATGGCCTCCCTCTGTTGAATTTTGATTGCCCACTCTGCACCTCCATTGATCAGAACAGTGTTTAACACTGAAGCAGATCTAAGGACAGGCAACCGAAAGCTTTATCAAAGAGGTCAGCTTTATTTAATTGTAGGGATGTTTGGATGCATTAAGATTACCTTTGCTTGCCCCTTCCTCCTGAGGTGCTGTGCCATGTACACCACCAGCCTTGCTGAACGGTGGAACCTTGAGAAACACTCCTTCTCCCTTGCCTTGCCTCCCTATGCAACAACGCTTAGAACAAAAGAACATAGATACAACGAACAGTACAGCACAGGAACAGGTCCTTCGGCCCACTAAGCCTGTGCTGACACGTGATGCCTTTTTAAGCTAAAAATCCTTTGCCTCTACGCAATCTGTACCTCTCCATTCCCTGCCTATTCGTATATCTATCAAAATGCTGTTGCTAATATAACCACCACCTTCTCTGACAGCATATTTAGAAGAAATTACATACTGATCTTTGTGATCCAGCAGCCCCCCTCAAGGATTGATAGTTAGGTCACTGCTGAAGTGTCAAACGTAGTCGGTGTTAATGGCTTATTCATCACAGAAGGGTACCTGGATACCGTGGTATAATGGTTATGTTTCTTGACTCGTACGTCAGAGGCTACTGTTTTGGAGTTGAGTTCAAAACTCTCCATTGTTAATGGGAATTTAAATTCAGTGTTTTTCATTCATTCACGGGATATGAGCATTGCTGGCTAGACCAGGCTTTTTTGCCCTAATTGCCCAGAGGGCTGTTAGGAGTCAACCACATTGCTGTGGGTCTGGAGTCATGTGTAGGCCAGACCAGGTAAGGATGGCAGTTTCCTTCCCTAAAGGACATTAATGGAGCAGATGGAACGCAAACAGAAAAAACTAAGAAAACTCAACAGGTCCAGCAGCATCCACGGAGAGAAGGCAGAATTAACGTTTTGAGTCCAGTGTCCCTTTTTCAGAACTGTTTGATTTTTGCTTGATGAACCAGATGGGTTTTTGGAACAATCGACAATTTCATGGCCATCATTAGAATCTTAGTTCCAGACTTTAAAAAAACCCCTGCTATGGTAGAATTTGAACTCACATTTCCAGACCAGTACCTAGACCTATGGATGAATAGTCTGGTGATAATGCCACTAAGCCATTACCTCCCTTGTTAATTAAATAAATCTGGAATAAAAAGCTAGTCCTGGTAATGATGACTAGGAAACTATTAGATTTCTGTAAAAACCCAACTGGTTCACTGGTGTCTTTCAGGGAAGGAAGTCTCTTTCCCTTAGCTGGTCTAGCCTACATGTGACTCCAGACTCTTAAATGTCCTCTGAAATAGCAAACCACTTAGTATACATTCAAGAATGTGGCTCAATACCAATCACCTTCTCAAGGGCAATTAGGGATGGACAATAAATGCTAACAATGCCCACATCCATTGAATAATTAGAGAAAAAATACCCTGTTAAGAATTGGGCCACCACTGCTTTCTGGTGTTTGCCAAGGACACCTAAGATCAATCAGGACCAGGATATGCAGCAGGGCTGGAGAATGTGGTCAGTTTCATCCATTACATCCTTCCAAATTTCTATCCATAGGAATTCCATGGTGACAACTTAGTCCACTTGACCTCTGTTATGTGATCAATTATGATATAAAGGAATCAAGCAATCTTGCAGATAGTGTGCCTTTCTTTCAGCCACAGGAGTGTTATAGACACAGAGGAACAGGAGGAGGCCATTCAGCCCTTCAAATGCAATTGTGGCTGATCTGTAACCATCATGGCTTCATACTTTGACTAACAAAAACCTATTCCTTTCAGCTTTAAAATGATCAACTTTCCAGCATTGATTCTGTTTTATGGGAGAACGTTCCAAACTTCCACCATCTTTCTCTCCTTCGTGGTTTGTTCTGGTTTAGTTTTAAGGTTATCTTCCCTTGGACTAACCTCCCGCACCAGTGTATCTATCTACTCTATTGAATCCTTAAAAAAATCCCTAAGGCCTCAATTAAATTATTTCTTTTTCTTTCAGCCTCTCCATGTCCCTTGGAGAACATTCAATGTCTTTTGATCACCTTCTTCATCTCCTCCTGTCAATCTCTCATTCCTTTTCCAATTCGGTTTTAAGTCTCTCGCCATCACATCTTTCCACTTGGTCAGCCTTCCTGTTTGTCTTTTACCTGGCAGTGCCATCTCCATCACTTACCTCACCACATTCTCTCTCTCCATAACGGATGACCAGACTATTTCAATCTCTTCTCAGCTCCTGTCTTTGATGCTCCCTCTATCTTCACTGAACCTCTGATATGCTGTCTCTTTCTTTGTCCTTTCTTGCTAACGCCACAAATGCATTTCGGCAACTGTATCTCATTACTATTGTAAATTATTTTTCCGCTCTCCTTGAGGTTGCCCATGTTCCTACATTATATAACAGCTGTCGCGCAGATTATTCTCTTCAGTTTCAGTAAGATTTTCTATCACGTAACCTTCCACTGCACGTCTTTCAATTATTGCGACCAGACCTAATCCATTGTTTAAAATTCCAATCCCATGCTTTCATGTTCTGCCATCACCAATTCCACATGCATGGATTCACTTTCTCCAAGTGTTTATTTGGAATCAAATCACCCTTTAACCTCTAATACTAGTCCAGTTTTCTGAATTTCTCCTCATAACCTAACCCTTGGACCCTTTGTAACCTTCTGCTGCTGCCTTCCAACGCCAGAGACCCGGGTTCAATTCCAGCCTCGGGCAACTGTCTGTGGGGAGTTTGCACATTCTCCCCGTGTCTGTGTGGGCTTCCTCTGGGTGCTCCGGTTTCCTCCCACAGTCCAAAGATGTGTGGGTTAGGAGCATTAGCTTAGGAAATGCAGGGATAAGGTAGGGGGTTGGGTCTGGATAGGATGCTGTTCGGAGGGTCGGTGTGGACTCGATGGGCTGAATGGCCTGCTTCCACACCATAGGGATTCTATGATTCTGTGATACACTTCCTATGCTGTGGTACACTGTTTCCCAGATGTGGTTTAACCAGGGCTTTGTATACAGCCTGCGTAATGTTTGTCAGGCTAAAAGACAGCAGACAAGATAAAACAACCTGCACACACAGCTCCCTACTCAAGCGAATCTAACCTCCCTTCATGAATATTTAATACCCCGTGTAAAATTAATGGATGGTAGCTGCTGATTGGATTCTGGCGTTGACTCCCTCCCCTCGCTGCACCATCTGTTAGATTAAGGGCAGCAGAAGGAAGACCTTTTACACCTCAATTCTCGCCTCTCCCCGGCCCTCCCTCAGGACCCTCCCCGACTTTAAACAATAAGCAGCAAATCCAGCCCAGGGGATGTATCTGCAATTTTTTAATATATGATTCTCTCATTCATGAGGCGGAGATGATGACAGAATGGTAATGTCGCTGAGCCAATAATTATGAGGACCACAGGTTCAAATCTCACCATGGCAGCTGGTGGAATTTAAATTCAATTAATAAACGTGGAATTATAGAACCAGTTCGAGTGATGGTGACTGTGACAATATCATCGATCATTGTTAAAAAAAATATCCTCTGCTTCACTGCTGTCCTTACCCAGTCTGGCTTATAATATAACTACAGACCCACAGCAATGCGGTTGATTATTTACAGCCTTCTAAAAATGGTCTAACAAGCCATTCAGTTCAAAGACAGTTAGGGATGAGTGATGTGATAAATGCTGGCAGTGATGCTCTCATCCCCACGACAGAATAAAGTATGGGTCTGTGATCAGTAAGACTGGTGATCCCAGGGAACTAGCTGATGAACCTGTTCCCTGAAGCAGATAGCTCACTTATACTGGGTCTACAACACACAATGCTGGCCATTCAATCCAAACAGTTTGTGCTGGTGCTTATGCTTCATACAAGCCTCCTCTCATCCTATTTCACTTCATCTTGTCTGCATTTACTTCTTTCCTCTCTCACCTTTATCTGGCATCCCTTAAATGTACCAACCCTGTAGGTCATCAGCACCACTTTCTCACCACTCTCTGGGTAAAGAGGGTGGATTTCTTGGATGACTGCCTTGGCTCCTAATTCTGATCTCCCCCCGCCTCATGAACAGAAGCACCTTCACTGTGTCCACACCATCTGTCTTTTCAAATATCTTGATCCGGTCACTGCTCAGATTTCTCTCTCCTAGAAGTGTCCCAGCCCTTTCGACCTTATATAAGGACATGATGAATAAAACGTAGAGAACAGTTTGAAAAGTTACAAAGTGCATGGAAATGATTTGACAAATAGGTCAACTTCAGTTAAATCAACCACATTGAGACAAAATGTATTGGCTGATCACAGATTGAGTAAGTATGTTTGTACCCCAGTACCAGGCACTGTGCTGTATTGTGCAAAGGAGTGACATGATAGTTCTCCTGGTTCTTTCCAACTGAGTACTCACCTGGATTAGTGCAACTCTAACAACACGAAGAAGCTCAACACCATCCAAGACAAAGCAGCCCACTTGATTGGCACCTTGTCAATCACCTTAAACATCCACTCCCTCCTCCAGCACTGCAGTGCAGTAGCAATAGTAAGTACCATCTACAGACTGCACTGCAGCAGCTTACCAGGGCACCTTCCAAACACATGGCCTATACCAACAAAAAGGACAAGGGCAGCAGATACATTGGAACAGCACCACCTGCAAGTTCCCCTCCATGTCTCTCACCATGCTGACTTGGTAATATACTGCCGTTCCTTCAGCGTTGCTGAGTTAAAATCCTGGAAGTTCCTTCCTTACAGTGTTGTGAGTATATCTCCACCAAATGGAATGCATTGGTTCAAGAAGGCAGCTCGCCACCATCTTTTCAAAGGCACCTAGGGATGGGCAGTAAACACAGGTCTAGCCAATGGTGTGCACATTCTTGGAGTCAGAGAATAAACGTATTTGAAAGAATCTATGTTCTAAGACCTTTCTCTTTTCTTTCAGAGATCTCAGCAACAACCAGATTGCTGAGATTGCACCTGATGCTTTCCAGGGACTGCGTTCACTTAATTCTCTGTGAGTATTAGACAGACGAGGGGACATAGGGTTTAAAATAAAGAGGACATTTCATGTCACTCGACCTGCTGTTCACTGGGGAAACTGGTAATCATAAGACCAGACCTATTGTTGGTCATCGGGTCAACTTCCTATTGGCAGAGATCCTGTGTCCCTCATGACACAGCCACAGAATGCCTAGGCCGCTAGTGAGAGTGCCCTTGCCTTTCACCTCTGTCCCCTCCAATTATCGTCTTCCGGTCTTTATCAATCCTTTACCTCTTCCACTTCCAGGGTCTTGTATGGAAACAAAATCAACGAGCTTCCAAAAGGAGTGTTTGATGGACTCTACGCTCTACAGCTCCTGTGAGTGTTTGACCTCCTCAAGACAAGTGTGACAAGGAGAGACACAATTTTGGGAAGGCGGGCGAGTGAGAGGGAGGAAAACTGTTATGTTAAAGTCCTGACCCCTTCCACCCGGAGGTTATAGTGCCAGAGTGCTGCCCAGGCACCAGGGGGCAGTACCTTCATTGTGTAGCTTTGCCAATGTCATTCAGGTCCTCATTGTTGGTCAGTTTGGTTGGAACTCAACAGTCAATCAGATGTATATTAGAGTTCCAACAAGATACATAAGTTCCAAATGTGGGAGGCCTTTTTTGTTCAGTGTCGGGAGATGAACAATGACAGGCTGTCTGCTACAAAACCTGTCATTGGACAAACAGGTGAACAGGAATCTCAAAGCTCCTTGTTATTCCCACTGCAGGCTTGGAGGACCAACAAAAAACCTCCAAGCTTTGCAAACCCGACTTGGTCTGTAGCTCCTGTTGCCTTCACTCTGCCTGTAGTTATTGTGACTTGCCCTGTACTGGCTTTAGGCTGGAGGGAGGTGGTACATATTTAAAGGGGGGTACAAGAAGAGAGAGACCTGGACTTATGTGTACATAAGACTTTAAAGTTGACAAGGCTATTGAGAAGGCCATTAGAAAGGCACATTGAATGCTTGCCTTTGTAAATAGAGGAATAGAGTACAAATATAAAAATGTTATGCCTTTGTAAATTACTGATCAGGCCCCACTTTAAGAAGGGTGTCAAAGCCTTAGAGATGGTTGAAAGAGATTTAGTAGTGCGGTACAGGACAAAGGGACTCCAGTAACAAATCTGGGATTCTTTCCTTAGAGGAGAGAAGGTTAGGAGGAGATTTAATCGAGATGTTCAAAATCATGAATGCTTTTGATTAAAGTAAGTAAAGAGAAACTGTTTCCAGTGGGAGAAGGTAGGAGCTGAAGGACTCAAATTTAAGACATTCAGCAGAAGAACTAAAGATAATCAGCTTTTTTTTAGCCTGGCAGGTTGTGATCTGGGATGCATTGACTGGAAGGACAGTGGAAACAGGCTCAGTGGGGTTTTTTGATGTAGAATTGGATAAATTCTTGGCAACACTGAGATTTGGAGGGCTATGGGGAACAATCAGAGAGAGTGGGACCTGATTGGATAGCTCTTTGAGAGAGCTGCCATGGGGCACAATGGGCTACAATGGGCTACATGGACTCTCGGAACTTTATGTGGAGACAGGCAGATGTTTGGTCCTTGCAAGCCATTTCAGTAATGCTCCATCCTATTTCTCTTTAGACTCCTGAACGCCAATAAAATCAACTGCATTCGAGCTGATGCCTTTCAAGATCTCCAGAACCTCAGCCTCCTCTCTCTATACGACAACAAGATCCAGACACTGGCCAAAGGGACTTTCACCTCACTGCGGGCCATCCAGACTCTGTATGGATACTATTACAGCTTTCTCCTTCATAGATTGTGGATCTTATCAATGTTTTTAACCAACTCATGGGGGGATGGGGTGGGGACGGGGTTCAGTAATCCAGGTGACTAGGTGCTCAGCATGTAATGCAGAAGGATACTAATGTTGTGGGATCAATTCTGTCACTGGTTGTGTGGTAGAGGGCTATTGCCTCCACTTACCCCAATGCTTGCCAAGTGCTGCCCCTCAGGCTGGATATCACTAATTGTTTCTCTGTAATGGAGAGAGCATCTCTGTTCTTTCATGGATTACGCTTGTGTCCTTCACTTAGTTTTAATGAATGGAAATCTTCACCGTTACAAAGGCAGGAGAAAATGGCCACCATTTGCAGTTCTTTGAAAAATTCTGGCCATCTGTACCTTTCAGGGTTTTCACCTTTCTCAGCTCAGAGGGCCCCGAGCTGGGAGGAACCTGCGAGAGGCAGCCCTGAACGAGGCTGTCAACAGGTTCCTGTGGTGGAGGCCGCTCCACTGGAGTCTAGAGGCTTCCCCTTTGGGACCAACGAGCACCGCAGATGCCCAGACAGTTGCAGCAAGGATACAGCATCTTCGCTAGCAATGTCTGCAGACCCCCTGAGAAAAGGGAATGACCACAGCTGGCCAAGATATTCATCTGCACTATTATAGAGCTCAACAGCCAAATGAACAGGTAGCAGCCTCCCCATTGGCTGCCACTGAGCTCTTCCATCTTGTAACAGTGCAGCTAAATTAAATCTTCACACGACCAACACTAGCACCATGTCATATCAGCAGCTGGACTCTTGGTCGCCATGAGGTAGATGTGTTGCAACCATCCTCCCTTTAGATTGGGATCTACAAACCACTGTGTCCAATGTGATAGAGGAGAATCATTAAGTAATATAACAGGAAGATGTTCTCGTCTTAAACAAGATGCAGTTTGAGGTTGTAGGCTTGCTCGCCGAGCCAGTGTGTTTGATTGTATCTGAGGCATTCATGCAGGAAGTACAGTTGTTCACGGGTTGCGCTCAGACTGGTGGCTTATGTCTCCCATCTGCGGGCCACTTTGAGGGTGTTGCATCCGAAGGTGTTTAAAGTTTTTGAGAAGATTTGTAGCTCGGGTTATGGATGAGCTTGTAGGCTTGCTCGTCGAGCCGGTGGGTTTGGTTGCTTTGCAATCAAGCAAGCCTACAACCTCATCCACAACCTGAGCTACAAATCTTCTCAAAAACTTTAAAGACGTAGTTTATTGCATGATAGCAGTCAGGTACAAGTAACATTGGTATGATAAGGACTCTTGTGGTGCAGTGGTAATGTTCCTAACTCTGGGTCAGGAATAATGGGTTCAAGTCCCATCCGCTCCAGAGGTGTGCCGTAACATGACTGCGCAGAGTGATTGAAAATATCCACATTGGTAATGATAGACATTGTTACACAGACTATAAGGAAATCCAGTCCTGCCTCCCTCAAGATCCTTAGCTGTTTTGCTCTTCCCTCTCAAGCCCTTACGGAATGGGAACGTCACATGCCTGGAAATGTGATGGAAGCAGTTTCAACTGAGACATTCAAAAGGACACTGGATAATTATTTGGATAGAAATTATCTTCCGGGATATGGAGAAAAGGCAGGAGATTGGAGCGAGGGTATAGAACTATTGCAGGCATGATGGTCTGAATAGCCTCCTCCTGCACTGGAAAAGTTCAATAATCCTGTGACATCATCAGATTGGTGGAGTAAAATGCAATCTTCAGCATTAACCCTTTCAGACTCATTACCTTAAAGAGCAATCAGCAGTCTGAATGTTAACAGTGCTGTGAGCTCTCACTGTGCAACACTACTAGTGGTGTGTAGGAAGGGGAGCAGCTAGTACCACTTCTAACCTGGCTAAGGTGAACAGAGAAAATGCACCTTTCCAAACTCCAGGTTCCCCTCAAATAAGAGCAAACTAGTGCAGAAGCTGGACATCTGAAACAAACACTGAGCTGTGTTAGTCCAGAGTTGACTTTCATGTCCAATGTGACTCTTCCTTAGACCTCATGACCTCTTCATATCAGAGTCAAACGTTAACTCTGTTTCTCTCTCTACAGACGCTGTCGGACCTGCTGAGTTTCTCCAGCGTTCTCTGCGTTTGTTCCAGATTCAGGGGTTGGTAAGATTCTGCTGGATGTTTCTTTGTTGGGGTCCCAAATCAGTATAAAACAGTCACTGATAAATCCAACTGCGAGCTCAGGAGAAACACCTTCATGCAGAGAATGATGAGAATGTGGAACTCACTCCAGCAGTGAGAGGTGGAGAGAAATAGATGTATTTGAGAGAAGGCTTGCTATGTACATGGAGGAGCAAGGGATAGAGGGATTTGCTGACATAGATAAAGTTGGGTGGCAAGATGCATTTTGAAGCATAAACACCAATGTAGACCAGCTGGGCCAAATGGCCTATTTCTGTGCTGTGAATATTGTGTAATTTCGAATTTGTCTTGGTTCTCTAACCCTGACCCAAGGCACCTAGCCCAAAACCCCTTCATCTGTGACTGTCACCTCAAGTGGCTCGCTGACTACCTTCGCTCCAATCCGATCGAGACCAGTGGGGCTCGCTGTGCTAGTCCGCGGCGCTTGGCAAACAAGAGGATCGGGCAGATCAAAAGCAAGAAGTTCCGCTGCTCAGGTACTGTACTGCACGCTGCCGTCTGAAGGTACGGCCCCGTGGGACACAGCTGTGGCGTGTAAGGACTCCCAAACCGTGGGGACAGAGGTGTGGTTCTTACGTTATTGGGCGCACGATCCAGAAACTTAGGCAAACAACTTGGCAGGTCATGAGTTCAAATCCCAGCGCAGGACGAGTTTAAAAACTTGAATTCAGTGTTGTTTTTGCAGTTTATTTGAGGCTAGTTTTTGTTGCCCATCCCACATTGTCGTATGAATTGAGTAGGCTTGTCCAGCCACTTCAGTGGGCAGTCAAGCATCAACCTCATTGCTGTGGGTCTGGAATCATACGTAGGCCAGACCAGGCAAGATTCTCCATCCCTAAAGGCAATTATCGAACCGGGTGGGCCTTTATGTTAATTGCTGGTAGTTGGCCCGTTGACCATTGCTGAGACTAACTTTATATTCCACATTAATTCACTTGAATTTAAGTTGCACTATCTCCTGTGGTGGGTTTTGAACCTATGTCCATAGAGTATTACCCTGGGCATCTGGCTTACTAGCCCAGGCAACTCATGACTATCAAACTGTGTCCCCCCCACCACCACCAGTTTCAACAATACTCAATTCTGTTTGGTTGGTGGGTTAATTTGGTGAGTGGAGTCTCGCACACACCCCTCAGTTTAAGGCAGTGTACCTTAGGGAGGATATATTGACCTTGGATGGAGTGCAACATTTCTCCAGAGTGTTTCCAGGGTGAAAAAATGGGTTCACTTCTGAGGACAGGGTGTGCACGCCAGGCTCGAATCCCCTCAGTTACAGATTAAGGAAATGTGATGTAATTAAAATGAATTAAGGATTCAATGGGGTTGATAGAGGGACACTATTTGCTTTGGTTGCAGTGGGATGTACGAGGAGGAGGTAGGGGTTTGGGGAAGGTTGACGGTTGGGAACAAGTTCAGAGCAAGGGAGTTAAATGATCTAAAATTCAAATGATCTAAAATTCAAACCAGACTTTTCCAGAGTGAGATAACAAGGTGTAGAGCTGGATGAACACAGCAGGCCAAGCAGCATCATAGGAGCAGGAAGGCTGACGTTTCAGGCCTAGACCCTTGTTATCTCAGATTCTCCAGCATCTGCAGTTCCTGCTATCTCTATTCCAGGGTGATATCAGGAAGCATATTTTCACACAAGGGGGCATGGAAATGTTGCCCCCCAATGGCTGCACGTTATAGCTCATTGCCTCTGGAAATAAAGCATTTCAACTTTAAAAGATGCTGTTAATCATTTAAACAGAAGTATTTGTTGGGTTGCATATTGATGATGTTAAACAATCATTAGGTCTGCAACTAATTACTTTGCCTTGATCCATCCTTGTCCACTGCCCTTTCTCCCTATGCCACTTTCTCAGAGATAAACACTGATACAACAACAACTCTGAATGGACTTATAAAATGGGGTTCATGGCTTCAGTTTGCAACTTTATCTGTGTACACTGGCAGCAATGAGGGCACATGTGCACATTGTCAATGCTTACCAATTTTTTCATCTTTCTCCTACACAGCAAAAGAACAGTATTTCATCCCAGGTAAGAGGCTCGGACTGAATGCATTGGTACCATGTATTGAGTTGATCTGCAGTGTAGAGATTATCTTTTTTAATCTTGTTTGAGTTGACGGTTAAAGCAGTGGCTGCCAGTGGTATTCTTCATAATTCCCCTCTCGTAGATAGGGATGGTGTGTGACCAGGTTGTTTCTTGTAACAGAAACAGGCTCCTTCTTTTTCACCTCTACTTGACACAATTATAAAGAAGGAAGAAAGGGTTTGCATTTATGTAGTGCACCCCACAGTGCTTTACAACTGATGAAATTCTTCCAAAGTGTAGGCACTGGTGTACTGTGATAAATGGGGCACGCAGAGAGATACCACAGAAAACAAATTTTTTTATTGATGTTGGCTGCGGAACAATTTGGGAATCCCCCTGCCATTCTTCAGACGCTGCTATGGTCTCTCTTATGTTCCCCTGAGACGGCTCAAGAGGTTTATCATCTCTTTCAAACCAGAGCATCTCTGGCAGTGCAACACCCCCTCAGTAAGGGTACCAGCATTGATTTTGTACTCTGATCTCTGGACTGGGCCTTAAATCAATGATGGTCAGAGACAAAACACTGCAGATGCTGGAATCCAAGGTAGACAAACAGGAGATTGGAAGAACACAGCAGGCCAGGCAACACCTGGAGGAAAACAGCAGTCAACGTTTCGGGTGTTACCCTTCTTCAGAAATGGATGTGGAGATAGGGGGAGCTGCAGACAAATATGGGGAGGGGAGAGTAGCAGAATGGTGGTGATAGGTGGACACTGGTGGTAGGTACGACCTGGTTGGTCGATGGGAGGAACGAATCCAGTTGGTGGCTGGAAGGGAGGGTCAGTAGGTGGAATGGAACGGAGGAGGTGGGGCTGGAAGGAGAGCCAGGGGATGGGTGGGAAGATTATTTGAAATTAGAGAACACAATGTTGAGTCCTCTGGGCTGTAGGATCCCCAGGTGGAAGATAAAGTGTTGTTCCTCAAATTTGTGTTCTGATTCACTGCGACACTGGAGGAGGCCGAGGACAGATATGTCAGAGGGGGAGTTTGGGAGGGGTATTTGAAATGGGCGGTGACCGGGAGGCTAGGCTGGATGTTACGGGCCAGATGAAGGTGCTCAGTGAAATAGTCACCTAGTCTACGTTTGGTCTCACCGACATAGAGAGGACCACATCGGGAGCACTGGATTCAGTAGACTATGTTGGAGGAGATGTAGGTGAAGCTCTGTCTCACCTGGAAGGACTGTATTTGGCCCTGGATGGAGGTGAGGGAGGTGGTGTGTGGGCAGGTGTTGCATCTTTTACGGTTACAGGGGAAGGTACTGGGGGTGGGTTGGAGTGGTTGGTGGGGAGCGTACCGCGAACTAAGGAGTGGCGAAGGGAATGGTCCTTGCGGAAGGCAGAGAGGGGTGGGAAGTAAGGTGTTCCGGATGGTGGGGTCTAATTGGAGTTGGTGGAAGTGTTTGAGGGCGATACGTTGGATGCGGAGGCTGGTGGGATGGCAAGTGAGGACAAGGGGGACCCTATCTTTATTATGTCTGGGGGGAGAATTAGAGCTGTGAAGCAGGGAATGGAGGAAGCATGGTGGAGGGCTGTCTGGATGACATGGGGGGATGGAAAAGAACATTGTTTGTAAAAGAAGGACATCCAGAATACTTGGGAGTGGAACGTCTTCTCGTCAGAGCTGATGCGATGGAAACAGAGGAATTGGGAAACTAGACTACACCTCCTCCCACCCTGTATCCTGCAAAATCTCCTCAAACATCGTCCTCAAACACTTGTGCCAACTCCAATTAGACCCTACCACCCGGAACACCTTCCACTCCCCACCCCTCTCTGCCTTCCGCAAGGACCATTCCCTTCGCCGCTCCTTAGTTCGCGCCACACTCCCCACCAACCATTGCCACCCGCCCGGTACCTTCACCCTCTAACTGTAAAAGATGCAACACCAGCCCACGCACCACCTCCCTCACCTCCATCCAGGGCCCTAAACAGTCCTTCCAGGTGAGACAGAGCTTCACCTACATCTCCTCCAACCTAGTCTACTGAATCCGGTGCTCCCGATGTGGTCCTCTCTACGTCGGTGAGACCAAATGTAGACTAGGAGACCATTTCGCTGAGCATCTTCACCTGGTCCATAACATCCAGCCTAGCCTTCCGCTCACCGCCTATTTCAACTTCCACCCTCCGACATGTCCGTCCTTAGCCTCCTCCAGTGTCACAGTGAATCAGAATGCAAATTTGAAGAACAACGCCTTATCTTCCGCCTAGGGACCCTACAGCCCAGAGGACTCAACGTTGAGATCTCTAATTTCAAATAACTTTCGCACCCATCCCCCAGCTCCTTTTCCAACCTTGCCTACTCCCTTCTATTCTACCTAATGAGCCTCCCTTCCAGCTCCCAACCAGATTCATCCCTCCCATTGACTAGGTCGCACCTACTACCGGCGTCCCCCTCACACCACCATTCCGCTACCCCCCCCCTACTTTATCTGCAGTTGCCCCTAACCCTGCATCCAGTCCTGAAGAAGGGTAATACTCGAAACATTGACTACTCCTTTCTTCCACCTGCTGCCTGGTTTGCTGTGTTCTTCCAGCCTCCTGTTTGTCTACCTCAAAACATTGATGGTTTGAATTGGGTGAGAATGCAACACACTGGGCCATAATGAATGCCTTAAACCAGGAGGTTTTCTATGTCCAGAGCTAAATGCTGTAAGGAATAGGGTAGGTCATAGGGTAAGTGAATGATGGAGGGTTATCACAAACCTCTATGGTGTCTCTAACACAGGCACTGCTCACTGAGGTTACTGACACCTGCTAAAACCAATATACAGTGGGGTTAAGAGAGTCTTTATCTCCATCTCCTGCCTTTGCCTGCGATTCAGTCACTCTCATTGTTTGTGGACAGTTGGAATATTGCTGTGGAGAGTGAGGTTCAGTCAAATTAACACAGCCAACACACCAGAGACAGCAGATCCTAAATGAATGTACAGATTTAAAATGGTCCCCCATCTGGTTCTTATCTGGATCACAATTCTCTGACATTAAATGTTAGGTGAAGAGTAAACCTCTCTCTGCACTGTCACTATCAGACACTCCCAGGACAGGTAGAGCAAGGCGTTAAATACAGAATAAAGAGCTCTCTAAACTGTCCCCATCAAACACTCCCAGGACAAGGACAGCATGGGGTAAGATACAGAGTAAAGCTCCTTCTATACAGTCCCCTATCAAACACTCCCAGGACAGATAGACCACAGGGTTAGATGCAAACTAAAGCTCTCTTTTAAACTGAAAGAAAATCTTCCTCTGTTCTTTAAAACTGAAATTAAATCTCCCTCTACACTGTCCTTATCAAACACTTCCAGGATAGGTACAGCATGGGGTTAGATCCAGAGTAATGTTCCTCCATCTCAGTTACAAATTCTGAAGCCACCCCTCAACCCCCGGACTTGAATACATTTCTCTTTGCTATATCCCTTTGCTAAACCTGACTGTGAGTAAATTTTAGTAATAAGGACAGTTTTGTTTTGCGGGTCCAGACTCAGTTCACCTCCTATTGTTACAGTCAGCAGAGAAACAGCTCCTCCTGCAATCTAGATTGTGTATTGACTCAGAGCTCCTTCAATGATCCTTAAATTAATTGTCTTGTCAGCAAACTGTGTGTACTGTGCTCTTTGACAGCATCACGAAGTATTTGGTGGATGAATGTGTAACAACTGACAGAATTCTCCATCGAGGTCAGCTTCACTGAATCATTTCTGGGGAATGAAGAATTCACAGCAGAGGCCAAGCTTTGTGTTGTGACACTGACATTTATTGACAGTGCTGTTCCTGACAATCAAGATGATTTCTTGGCTCTGGATGATTTGAACCCGCAGGCAATAGTTCAGCAAGCATTTCACCTGCCTGACCAAAGGCAACACTCTCAAACTTCTATCCACTTGACATCCTAGACTTGGCATTTTCAGCAGCTCAGCTCTTAACCCTCTTCCCAATCAAATATTCACTGAGCTTTTTCTCACTTGTGCTGTCAAATATTTTCTGTCCTTCTCTCCATTATTATTTCCTTCCCTCATTTCTTCCACTCTCAGCTCCTCCTTTTCCCCTCCCCTTTACTTCCTTAGGCTTTCCTTTGCCACCCCTTGCCTCTCCTGTTCTCCCCTTCTCTTTCTCCCATCCACAGTTTCCTCTCAGTCTCCTGCCGTCTACACTCCTGGCTTTTTCTCTCCATCCTTCTCCTCTCCACCCCCTCCTTCTCCTCTTCCCTCTCTTCTGCCCTCCCACCACTCTCTCCTCTTTGATCTCATCCATACTGTCCTCTCCGTTCTCTTCCTCTGCCCTCTCCTCCCCTATTCCTACTCTCCCCGCTTAGCCCTCCCCTTTTCGGAATGGGAAAACACGACAGAGGTCTAAGTAAGAAAAGCAGCCTGTTGTTATTTTCCACCTTCCTTGGCAGGTACTGAAGATCACCGTTTGGGGAGTGAATGCAATGGAGACACAGTCTGCCCACCACAGTGCCGCTGTGAGTCCAACGTAGTCGACTGTTCCAACCAGAAACTGACCAAGGTCCCAGAGTTCATCCCTCAGTCGACCCTGGAACTGTAAGTAAACCTGGGATAATCGCACTCATCCGCAAGGTCATTGTACCTTCCATGATCACAGGACATTCCAAATCACCTTCATTCATGTCTGCTCGCTGATGAAATGCAGCCAGTAATGTGCACAGCAGATCGCACACAACAGCAATGTGGTAATGACTAGACCGACATAAAATAAAAACAGACATTAGTCGAGGGATAAACATTGACTCAGGAGAGCTCCTTCATTCTTTGAAACAATGGAATCCTTTACATTCGCCCAACAAGGCAGCCAGGGCCTCAGTTTAGCATCACATCTGAAGGGCAGGATTGCTGATGGCCTGGTAGTATGTTCACTGGATTGTTAATCCAGAGACCCAGTTAATGTTTTTAGGACTGGGGTTCAAATCCTGCCACAGCAGGTGGTGTAATTTGAATTCAATTTTTAAAACTCTGGAATTAAGAGTCTATTGATGCCCATGAATCCAATGTCAATTGTTGGGGAAAAACCCCTCTGGTTCATTAATGCTCTTTAGGGAAGGAAACTGCCATCCTTACCTGGTCTGGCCTACATGTGACTCCAGACCCACAGCAATGTGGTTGACTCTTAACTGCCCTCTGGGCAATTAGGGATGGGCAATAAATGCTGCCTAGCCAGCGATGCCCTCATCCTGTGAATTAATTAAAAAAAAGACAGCACCTCTGACAGTGCTATGCTCCCTCAGAGCCACATTGGAAGATCAGCATGGATTATTTATTCTAATCGCTAGCGTGATCCTCAAACCCATGACCTTCTGCCTCAGAGACAAGTGTGTTACCCACTGAAGCACATAGACAGTCGTGGAGAGGGGAAAGGGTCAGGGTTCAATGAGCAGAGGAAGCAGATTTAAGATATTCTGTGTAGGAACTCGGGTAGGGTTGAAGGGGGAGAGTTTAAGCAGCAAGTTGTGGTCTGGAAGGCGCTGCTCAGGAAGAGCAGTGGAGGCAGATTCCATACGAGCTTTGAAAAGGAAATTTGACAAATATTTGACGCAAGGCTATAGAGAAAGAGCAGGGGCGAGTTGGACAAATTGGATGGCTTTACTGAAGTGGAATGGTCTACTTCTGTGCTGTATTCATTCCTTTCTGAGTGGTTGGATCATCTGACTATTCACTTCGAATTTGAACAATGAAATGTTTAATATTAGTGAGGTCACATTAGAAACAGTTTTCCACGGTGAGATTTGCCCAGTACAGTCCCTGGATTGAAGTCTACTCAACATTTACATAAGACCCTTGTAACCACTGTACACAATTCCCTTCCATCCTATCTGTCTGAGCTCCTGCCCAGCCATCCTTCAAAATAGTATGGTGCTCACTGGCACACCAGCAGTTCTCAAAAATGCCATGGTGAGATTAGCCAATTATGGTTGGATTCCAGTTATGGTATTCTCAAAGGTTTTGACAGATAGTTCCAGGGCAAACATGGAATAACGTGGATGTTTTGCTCAGGTCTGAGTTGAACCCACAACCTTCTGACTCAGCAGATAACAATTCTGATACCAATAATTTAACAGATACATCAACCGTGTTAACAGTTTACCCCAAGTCTAAGGACAGGGCTACTGGGCGAACTTGATTCTTTGTAATTAATTTCATTTTTTTCAATCTCCATAGACGTTTGACTAACAACGAGATTTCACATTTGGAAGCCACTGGTCTGTTCCGGAAGCTTCCACAGTTGAGAAAAATGTGAGTGGATGTTTCGCTTCTTTTCTCCTTTGTTTCTGTCCCTCTTTTTGTGAATGTGCCAACTCTCACTGTCACTCAGAACGGGAGGTGAAATTTCCCCTCGGCTTTGGAGAGGATTCGAGAAGAGATCAGCTGAGATGGTTCCATGGAGTAGGATTACAGTTATATAGTCAGACTGGAGAAGCTGGGGTGTTCTCCTAAAAATAGAGAAAGTGTAGCATAGGTGTGGTAGCAGTATTCAAAATTGCAAAGAGTCTAGACAAATGAATTAAGAGAAACTGTCTCCAGTGTCTGAGGCATTGATCTCCAGAAGGCACCAATTTAAGGTGATTAGTTAAAGAATCCGAGGCAACGCGAGGAAAATTGTCTTCAAGTCGCAAGGGGTTAGCATTCGGATTACAGGTTCAAATGTAGCTTTCAAAAAGGAATTGATCAACACCGGAAAGAGAAAACAAATCTGTGAAAAGAGCCGGGGTTTGGGATTTACTGTATTGCTCTTTTAAAGTGCTGCCATAGATTTTGACAGGCCAAACAATCTCCTTCAGTGCAGTACTTTTTTATTCATTCAACAGGATTTTGGCACCACTGGCTAGGTCAGCATTTATTGATTGTTCCTAATAAACTTGGAGAAGGTGGGGGTGAGCTGCCTTCATGAACTGCTGCAGTCCATGTGTGTAGGTAGACCCACAATGCCACTAGGGAGGGAATTCCAGGATTTGGACCCAGCAACAGGACTGGACAGGGCAGATGCAGGGAGGGTGTTCCCGATGGTGGGTGTGTCCAGAACCAGGGGTCACAGCCTGAGGATTTGGGGTAGACCATTTAGGACGGAGATGAGGAGACATTTCTTCACCCAAAGAGTGGTGAGCCTGTGGAATTTATTACCATAGGAAGTAGCTGATGCCAGAACATTGAATGTATTCAAGAGAAGACTAGATATAGCATTTGGGGTGAATGGGATCAATGGTTATGGGGAGAAAGCAGGATTAGGCTGTTGAGTTGGATGATCAGCCATGATCGTGATAAATGGCAGAGCAGGCTCGAAGGGCCGAATGGACTCCTCCTGCTCCAATCTTCTATGTTTCTATGTAAGTCATTTTTCCAAGTCCTATACGTGACTTCAGATCCACAGCAATGTGTTTGACTCTTCCCCTCTGGGCAATTAGTGATGGGCAATAAATGCTGGCCTAGCCAGCGATTCCCTCATCCCGTGAATGATTAAACAAGAAGGATAATGAATGGCTTGGAGCAGAGCTTGCAGATGGTGGTGTTCCAATGTACCTCTGCCTTTGTCCTTTCAGATGGTAGAGATTGTGGGTTAGGTATCTGCTGTTGGAGGATCATCTTTTCTTGATACACAAAAGGTGAGGTCACACAGTGAGCTGGCAAGATGGATACAGAACTGGTTTAGTCATAGAAGACACAGAGTAATGATGGAAGGGTATTTTTCTGACTGGAAATCCTGTGACCAGTGGTGTTCTGCAGGGATCAGTGCTGAGGCCCCCGTTGTTTATTTGGAGGAGAATGTGGGTGTCTTGATTAGTAAGTTTGAGAATGACACAAACATTGGGGAGCTGCAGATAATGACGAGGATTCCCAGGGAATATAGTAGGATACAGATAGGCTGGAGACTTGAGTGAGAAATGGCAGATGCTGTCTAATCCAGACAAATGCTAAGCGATGCATTTTGCAAAATCTAATGCAGGATTAGATACAGTAAATGGCAGAACTCTTAGTAGATCATCTTTGTCACTTCCTCAAAATCTCAATCAAGTTTGAGAGCTATGGTAGGTGGCACGGTGGCTCAGTGGTTAGCACTGCTGCCTCACAGCGCCAGGGACCCTGGTTCAATTCCACCCTCAGGCAACTGTCTGTGTGGAGTTTGCACATTCTCCCTATGTCAGTGTGGGTTTCCTGCAGGCTAGATGGATTGGCCATGCTAACTTGCCTGTAGTGTTCAGGGATGTGTAGATTAGGTGGATTATAAGGGGATGGGTCTGGGTGGGATGCTCTGAGGGTCGGTGTGGACTTGTTGGGCCGAGGAGCCTATTTCCACACTGTAGGGATTCTATGTGAATATAGTGTTGGAGGATTATGATGGGCAGTCATTAGTGGCAACAACTGGAGTTTCCACCAAGGCAGGGCAATAATGAATACTTCTTTCTGAATAGTTGATAGGCTGGGCAGAGTATAGATTTAGTCGTTTTGCATTGAGTTAGTGGCATAGTCACATTCCATTTCAATCAGAAATAGCATCAGATTCTCACCATGAACAAAGTAAGATCACCCCAAAGTGCTTCAGAGGAGAATAAAATAGACAAATCAGAGATGGAGATTTAAGGACGAGTGATGACAAACTTAATCACAGTAGGGAGGCCTTGAAGGTGCTGGGGGCTAGGCTAGGGGGAGTGGAAAATGTTTACAATGGGATTAGTTAGGGTGGATAGAGAGAGACAGCTTCTGCTGATATGGAAACCCATGATGAAGGGATTTGATCTTAAATTAGAGCTGGACTTTTCAGAAGCAAAATCAGGAACCATTTTTACATAAAAACTGCGAGCAAAATGTGGAACTCTCTGACTCCTAAAGTTGTACATGTTGTGTTGGGGTGGAGTGGGGGTGTGGAAGATTGGTCAATTGTAGCTTTCAAGACTGAAACAATATAGAGTTTTATTTTTGCTGAAGAGAGAGACACACTTTCTTTCTTCATCTCATACTCATCAGGACAGAGGCAAGAATGCCAAATTACAAAGGAAACAACAATAATAATACATGAGGAAAGGATATTGATTGGTCGCAAGTTGACTCTGATTGGGCGAAAATGTCCAAAAAGCTATTGTTCCTCCAGGTGTTGATTAAATTCAAAAAACATTGCAATGGCTGGACATGTTTCTTTTGCCTGTAGGGGGCAGGTCCCTGCATATGAATTTGTGTAGCTTCTGGCCGTCTTAAATGCTCCACATTGTGAGCCGGACTGATACCCTATCATCAAATTAAATAGTTAAGTTTGCGAAGGGGCAGGAAGGGAATGCGGGAGAATGCAATCGAGGCACAGATCAGTTGTGATCTGGTTTGACTGGCTGGAATGAATGGCCTCCTATTATTACTGACATTTCAAAAAGGGCAAATAGTTCAGGATTGGAATTGCAGAGTTTGTGGAGCCAGGATAGTTGAAGACAGACGGGCCATGGAAAGTGAGGGAATCACATTGCCAAAGACGGGGCTTGTTTTCATTGCTGCATTGTGATGAGGGAAATAGAAAGACTTCCTGCCATTTACTGGTTAAAAGATGAGTGTTTCGCTCTCCTCTACAGAGACAAGTATAAATGTTTGATGTGAATCGCTGATTAATTCTCAGTGCTGCAGTTCCAGCTGTTCTATTCTGCGCTGTCCACTCGCCATATGGGGCAAGCTGGGAATCCAGATGTGGCTAATTGCATTTCTGATTGGTGAATAAACAATGAGCAGCTGTCATTAGCCATGGGATCTCAATACTCATATTCACAGTGTGTGTGACAGATGCTTCATGTAATGCAGCAATAGTGTCCCCAATCTCTGAACCAGGAGACCCAGGATCAAGTCCCACTTGTTCTCGAGGTGTGCATTAACATTTCTCTTCACTGGTTGATGAAACATTTTTGTGTAAGTAACTTTAATACACACTCATACTGATACACATTGCCAGACACATCCTCAAAAACAACACACTCACAAAAGACGTACTCCACACTTCCGCTCTCTCACCTGATGCCAACTCATATCTTCAACAGTTACACCACACACACACACTCCCACAAACACTAAAACACACTAATACAGACACTACAGACCTGTCTGTGACAACAAGGTGCAGGGCTGGATGAACACAGCAGGCCTAGGAGCAGAGAGGCTGACGTTTCGGGCCTAGACCCTTCATCAGACCTGTCTGTATCAGTTCTGAGGAAGGGTCACCAGACCCGAAACGTTAACTCAGATATTTCTTCACAGATGCTGCCAGACCTGCTGAGCTTTTCCAGCAACTCCTGTTTTTGTGTCTCATATACTCACTAGCTCATATTAACACAGGTATTCACTCACACTAACATTCACTAGCTCACACTAACACACTCACTCAGCTCTTATGTTTCACTTCCTCTGATTTAAGACCCTTTTTGTTTTATTGTCAGAAACCTGAGTAATAACAAGATTGTGGAAATTGAGGATGGAACATTTGAAGGTGCCTCTTCAGTCAGTGAGTTACATCTTACAGCCAATCAGCTCGATTCTATAAGAAGCGGGATGTTTCGGGGGCTTGATGGATTACGAACTTTGTAAGTACCTTAATAGGACCAATTGGGATGTGTTATTCTTAATCCTTAAACTGCCGGCTGGTCTGTTCCATTGAGAGAATTGACTTCTCCTCCTCTCACTGTAACTCCACTGAAAAAGAACTTGCCTTTGTATAGTGCCCTTTAGGATGGCAAACCAGTTTGAAGTTTTTTTTAACATGTAGGTTCGATTACAATGTGGGAATCAATGGCAGCCAATTTATACACAGCACGATCCCATAAATGTGATAATGGCTGTGATTTTTTAAAATGATGTTGATTGAGCGATAAATATTGACCAGGCTACTGGGGGATAACTCCATGCTCCTCTTATGATTAATGCCATGGGATCTTTTACATCTACCCCACTAGTGCAGAAGTGGTCTGAGTTTAATGACACATCTGAAACAAAGTACCTCCAACAGCCACGAAGAGAGACTAGATTCAGCTGTGAAGATAGACTAAATAGACCGAGGTTGTTTACCTTGGAGCAGAGAAGGCTGAGGGGGGTCCTGATTGAGGTCTATAATGTTCTGAGGAGCATAGATAGGGTAGATATGGATAAATGGTTCCCCTTAATAGAGGGGTCAATAACAAGGGCACAGTTTTAAGGTAAGGAGCAAGAGGTTTAGAGGGGACTTGAAGAAAGATGACTTTCATCCAGATGGTGATGGATATCTGTAACTCACTGCCTGAAAGCTTGATAGAAGCCAGAACCTTCAAGACATGTAAGGAGTACTTAGCTGAACACTTGAAAGGCTGTAGGTAGAAGGCACAGAGCCAGAAAATGGAATTAGAATAAATAAATACTAGATGACCAGCATCGAGGTGAGGGGCTGAAGGGCCTTTTTTCTGTGCAGGAAAGTCTTTACAACTCTCTATAATTCATCTACCTTTGTGCAGCATTGCCTTTTGTGGGTCAGTCCAGAACTTTGCACTCAGGTCTCTGGAGTGGGACTCAAGCCCACAACCTCCTACTTCAAGGGCAAGAGTATTATCCCTAGTCATTGCTCATAGCAAGTGGAAGGATGTGACAGGTCTATCATGTATAATGCTCAATGTACTACTCTGTGCTGGTAAGCTTCATGAAAGACTCTCCATTTCGTGCCACTAGACTTCGTTGTTTTGTATAGATGGTCTTCAGAGACTATTTGCTATTAGGCACGCCAGTTTATTCATTCATTCTCAATGTATGGGCATTATTAACAAGACTGACATTTCTTGCCCATTCCTAGTTGCCCATTTCCAATGAATTTTGGGTCTGTGTATGGTATGTGACTTAGAGGCAACATTGTTCCTTTGCACCTACTACTACTGAGGGTTAATAGGAGGTCAGTCAGAGGCTAATTGCTGGAAGACTTATCCTGAGCTCAGTCAGAAGTATATTGAGGAAAGGTTGAACAGGTTGGACCTATAGTCAATGGAGTTTAGAAGAATGAGGAATGAGCTTATTGAAACATTGAAGATAAATTTGAAACATTTGAGTGGCTAGATGCTGAGAGGATGATTCTCCTCATAGTGGAGACTAGAACTAGGGGACACAGTTTGAAAATGAGAGATTTCTCATTTAAGACAGCGATAAGGAGGAATTTCTCCTCTTAAAGGGCTGTTAACCTTTATTGCTGACAGCATTTGAGGCTGCGTCATTGAATATAATCAAGGCTGAGTTAGTCGAAATTTGATTGGTAACAGAGTCAAGGTTTATGATGACCAATGTGGAAAGTGGGGTTAAGGTCAACCATGATTTTACTGAATGACAGAGTAGGCTCAATGGGTTTTATGGTCTTTTCCTGCTCCTGTTCTTCCTTTATTCATTCACGGGATGAGGGTGTCACTGGCTAGGCCAACATTTATTGCCCACCCCTAATTGCCCAGAGGGCAGTTAAGAGTCAACCACATTGCTGTGGGCCTGGAGTCACATGTAGCCCAGACCAGGTAAGGATGGCAGTTTCCTTCCCTAAAGGACATTAGTGAACCAGATGGGTCTTTCCAACAATTGACAATGGATTCATGGTCATCATTAGATTCTTAATTCCAGCTTGTTTTTATTGAATTCAAATTCCTGCCCTGGCGGGATTCAAACCCAGGTCCCCAGAATGTTGTCTGTGTCTCTGGATTAACAGTCCAGCGATAATACCACTAGGCCATCGCCTCCCCCTCCTACTTCTTATCTTCTTATAATCTGAGGTCATGTATCTGTTTGATGAATATTTGAGTGGGACAGGAGTGCCACGGAGTCCAGGCTGATGCTCTCAAATGTGGCGGATGCATTAGATACAGGAATTTGGTATGGATCATAGAGTGATAGAGTCATACAGGATGGAAACAGACTCTTTGGTCCAACTAGTCCATGCTGACCATGTTCCCAAACTAAACTAGTCCCCCTTGCCTGCATTTGGCCCATATCCCTCCAAATGTTTCCTGTTCATGTACTTATCCAAATGTCTTTTAAATGTTGTAACTGTACCTTCATCCACCTCTTCCTCTGCAGTTCGTTCCACAGACAAACCACTCTCTATGTAAAAAGGTTGCCCCTCATGTCCTTTTTAAATCTTTCTCCTCTCTTCATAAAAATATGCCCCCTAGTTTTGAACTCCCCCACCCTAGGGAAAAAAACCCTGCTATTCACCTTATCTATGCCCTTTTTGATTGTATAAACCTCTATAAAGTCACCTCCCAACCTCCTACACTTCAGTGAAAAACGTCCCAGCCTCTCCAGCCTATTTTTATAACTCAAACCCTCCATTCCCAGCAACATCCTGGTAAATCTTTTCTGAACCCTCTCCAATTTAATAATATCCTTCCTATAGCAGGGTGCCTAGAACTGCACACAGTACTCCTGGAGAGGCCTCACCAATGTCCTGTACAACCTCAACATGACGTCCCAGCTCCTATACTTAAAGGTCCGAGCAATGAAAGCAAGCGTGCTAAACGCCTTCTTAACCACACTGTCTAGCTGTGACACACATTTCAAATGATGGCTGCAGTTCGAAATGTAACATACAGTGCAATGGTGATTTTTAAAAATATCAATCATTGATCTTGTTACTTTGAATTCCATTTCAGTTGTTGTTTAAAGATGTCACATGACACGGGACTGTGGCAATGTATTGATTTTGTAATGTGCAACTTGAAGGAATATTGATTGTACGGTGGACTGGTGATTATTATGAGGGTACTCAGAGTGAATTACAGGAGAATTCAATACCTGGGATTAGATTGTAACCCAGTATGTCTTAGGTTTCCCCAGAGAGCTTCTACTCATTATTAAAAATTGTAGAATATTTGATTTTTGTTACACATGCACACCCACACATAATCATATACTACCCCCCTACACACACACTCACATATGCACACAAACACAAAGCACCACACACACATACGTACTCTCACAAGCTGATACACACACACTGTCTCACACACACACAGCTACATGCACCCATGCGTATATGCCTAAACACCAATATATACACACCTAAACACACACACAAACACAAATATCACACATACATGAACACATACAAATCACCACACACACACACACACACACACACACAGAAAGGCAAGGAGTGGCAGAGAGAGCACATCTCAGGCAGAGGAACCAGGAGGTACAAACTATGGTCTAATTCCACCACAGCAGTTACATTCTGAGGTGGCTCAGAGAATGACTGTAAGCTGTATCTGGAGGTCAGAAGGAGACTGATGTTGGTAGGCAAGTCTTGAGAAAGCAAGTGAGACATACACGCAAATACAAAAAGAGAGAGACTGAGAAAACAGGCAGAGAAAGACACACAAGGACGGAGAGAGAAATAGAGAGAGTAAGAAACAGAGAGGCTGACATGCCAAGCATCCCCAGTTTCTGAGATAACAAGGTGTTGAGCTGGATGAACACAGCAGGTCAAGCAGCATCACAGGAGCAGGAAGGCTGACATTTCGGGCCTAGATGACGGGTCTAGACCTGAAACGTCAGCCTTCCTGCTCCTCTGATGCTGCTTGGCCTGCTGTGTTCATCCAGCTCTACACCTTGTTATCTCAGATTCTCCAGCATCTGCAGTTCCTGCTATGTCTGAAACAATTTTATCCCCGGTTTCTCACTGGTGAGGTTGTGTACTGATATCGTCTACTTGTAACAAGGAGGTCTTGTGGCAAGTGTTCCGTGTCTCTGAGCCAGATGCTCTGGGTTCAGATCCCACTTCAAGACTCAATGGCTATGGAAGTGTTCATAATGCATCCAAACAGGTTAATCAACTTTCAGGTCCTTCTGATACAACTATGGGGGCAGGTGGTAAGAGTGGGACAGTCTCTCAGTCAGCCTAGCTTCTTATTGGAGAGACATCCCTCAATCTACAGCCTCTGGTTTCAGGTTGGTGGCCTGTTTCAGGAAAATTTAGCTACAAAAACAGATGTAGGTGCCTGCTGTGTCTGTCTCTCAGGCCTCGAGACATTGGAAAGCTCTAAGTCGATGTGGAATAGTTTCCAAGGATGAGTGATTGTTCATCTAGTTAATTCTCTTTGATAATTCTCTTTAATGACCTTCCCAGAGCAGATGCTGCTCTTTCAGCAACTTATTGTTCCTTCTTCCTGCAGGATGCTGAGAAATAATCGCATCAGCTGTATCCACAACGACAGCTTCACGGGACTGAGTGCCGTGCGCCTGCTCTCACTCTATGACAACCACATTGCTACGATCACACCAGCTGCTTTCGACACCCTGCACTCACTCTCTACTCTGTGAGTACACATTGGTCTTCTGAAGTTGTCATACCAGACTGGAAACGTTCACTCTGTTTCTCTTTCCACAGATTCTGCCAGACCTGCTGAGTTTCTCCAGCAATCTCTATGTTTATTTCAAGGTCCCTCTGATCTTCTATACTTTCTCAGGTCCTACCATTTAACACACACTCCCTTGCCTTGTTAATCCTCTCCAAATACATCACCTCACCCTTTTCAAGATTAAATTCCTTTTGTCACTGATCAGTCCATCTGACCAATCTGTCTATATTATCCTATAATTTAAGACTTCTCTCTTCAATATTTACCAAACCCCACCAATTTTCATGTCATCTGTGAACTTACTGATTATACCTCCTACATTCATATCCAGATCGTTACTGTACACAACAAATAGCAAAAGTCGCAGCACCAAGCCCTGTGATATGCCACTGGACACAGGCTTCCAGTCACAAAAACACGCTTCAACCATCACCCGCTGCTCCCTGCCACTAAGCCAATTTGGATCCAATATGCCCTGGATCCCATGGGCTCTTAACTTCTTCACCAGTTTGCCATGTGAGACTTTGTCACTAGCTTTTCCGAAATCCGTACAGACTACATCAACTGTACTACCCTCATCTACACATGTAGTCACGGTCTCAAAAAAAAATCTAATTTGTTGGACAGATCTCTCCCTTACAAAGCCATGCTTACTATCCCTGACTTGCCTGTCCAAGTGTAGATTCATTCTGTCCATCACAAATTTCTTTTTTCCAATATTTTCCCTAACACAGCCAATAGTTTCCGGGTTTATTTCTACCACCCTCCTTGAATAATGGAATGACATTCTCTGTCCCCCCGTAGCCAAAGATAAATTAAAAGTGTGTATCAGACACTCTGAAATCTCTTCCCTTGCCTCCCAGAGCAGGCTCGGAGACATCTCATCTGGGCCTGGGGATTTAGCCACTTTCTAAAACCACTAATACCTTTTCCTTGTCCGCGCTAATAACAAGAAGACTGTCAAACTCAGGCAAAAGTGAAGCTGGATCAGAGCCAGGGAGGGGGATTTGTCAGAAGCAAATTGAAATTGTTCATCTGGAACTGTGAAGGGTGAGAGCAGTCCTCAAAAAAACACACACACAGATTACTAACAATGTGTAAGTTTTGAGAGGGGAGTTCAGAATCATCGCTGGAAGGTAATTTGTTTATATTGAGGGTCATTGGAATATAAATTGATACTTCACAGCAGGTTACAGAAGCTGCACTATTATCTTAAAGGGAATTGATAAAAGGGAATATTTGAAAACAGGATAAAAGGAAATGTAGCTGAGACAGCAGGTGTGCAATGACGACAGGCAGCTCCATTTATTCAGCTGATGCCAGAATTGATAATTTATGTGCTGTAATTCCGAGCCTTTAATGATTCACCTGGGAAGAGTGCTGTTCATTAACTGCACTGCCAAGCAGATGTTGTATTTGTTTGCATGTTTACAGCATACACACACATGCATGCACATAGAGGCAAACGTGGAAATGCACACAACCATGCATGTCCACGTACATCAACTCACAGCTGGAGACGAGCACACACAGATGACAGGTGTACACACACGTGTGCACATACACGTTGCACACACGTATGAATACACTTGCGTGTGTTTTGTACATGGAGAGTTGTGAATTGACGTGTCGTGTGTTCCGCCCCTCAACACTCTGCAGCAACCTCCTCGCAAACTCCTTTAACTGTAACTGCCAGCTTGCATGGCTCGGAGAGTGGCTGAGGAAGAGGAAGATTGTCAGTGGGAACCCACGATGCCAGAAGCCTGACTTCCTGAGAGAGATCCCCCTGCAGGACGTGGCCCATCAGGACTTCCGTTGTGAAGAAGGTAACAAGCTCCAGCTTTAGTCTTGGACCGGGAATGTTGTTCGCTTTCATTTTGTGAACTTTTGTTCTCAATAAAGTGAAGGGGCCTCCCAGAACAGATACAGCATGGAGTTAGATACAGAGTAAAGCGTCCTCTACACCGTTCCCATCAAACACTCCCATGATGGGTACAGCAGAGAGTTAGATACAGAGTAAAGCTCTCTCTACACTGTACCCATCAAACACTCCCATGGTGGGTACAGCGCAGAGTTAGATGCAGAGTAAAGATCCCTCTACACTCTACCCATCAAACATTCCCATGATGGGTACAGCACAGAGTTAGATACAGAGTAAAGCTCTCTCTACACTGTCCCCATCAAACACTCCCATGATGGGTACAGCACAGAGTTAAATACAGA